ATTGAGTTTATTGGTACATTTTAGGGATACAGTACAGTTACATTCATTGTTGGGATCATGTACCTCTACATGGCAAGTCTTGATTCTCATTTTTTCCCCTTACCTCTGCCCTCCCTTCACCCCCTCCTCCCCTCCCCATCTACAAACACTTTATTTTCATCTTTTCATTCTCTCACATTTTTTTCTTTTCCCTTTTTGTTCTTCCCCTACGCATCACACCTTCCCTACACCTTTAGCTCCTTTCTTCAAATTTCTAAATGTCAGTAATCTTATTAGAATCTTATGCATTGAAAAGGCCCCTTTTCTAATGGTGGTTGACTTGATGTCTGAACCACAAGTATCCCTTGTTAGAACTGGGCAAAATGTCCTCAAGAACCTTAACTAGGGCAGGGAGTGAAGAAATCCCATGGATAAAGAATAGCTAAGACAAGGCCATACTTCTTTATCTGGAAGGAGTTCAATCATCTGGGCCTCTCTACACACAGATATTTGTTTCAATTACTCATTGACCCTTTCTTTTTCAGTTCTTGACTATCTTTTAGCCATTTAGTTCTCATCTTGGGAATTCACCTGTTAGCTTTTTCTGCTCTCTGACTTTTTTTGGAGGGCAGTTGAGGATGGAACCCAGGACTTCAAACATGCTAGGCAAGCTCTCTGTCACTGAGCTACATTCCCAGATCCTGCACCGTAACTCTGACCAATCACTCGGCCTTGGATTGGTTAACCACAGGTTCTGGACAATCTTATGGAAACTCAGGGTCTCTAATGCCTTCTATTACACTGTTTTAAATTTTGCTCACTTTATAAAACTCCTGCTTTCCTATGAAGATGACTAACAGGAAATGCTATTTATGTATTACCTTCCTGCTCCAAATCTACCTTACAGGAAAGAAAACAAAAAGTAGGGGACCTGCTTTAGCAGAACCATTTGTGCATCCAGAAAGGGAGCAATTCTTTGACTCATACCCCCTTGCATCCAGAGAGGGAGCTGGCATCAAAATCTTAGCACCTCACCTTGACCCAAGCAGGAATGACAAGGTCAGAGGTGGCCTTCAGGAAGCAACTTGAAGAACTGTAGAGAATAGATTAGAGCGGGGATGGTAAATCTATGGCCTGCATGCCTCAGTGGGCTATTTGTATCCCTGAGAGCTCTAGAAGGTTCACCATCCCTGGATTAGAGGAAGAGAGGCTGTGGAAAGGAGACAATTTATAGAAGCAACCACAATGTTTATTCTCGGGGAGGGAGGATGAGATCTGAATTGAGCAGTGGGAGTGGGATGAAAAGGAGGGATCGAGAGAGACAATAGTCTTTTTGGTGAGAGAACTGATGGGATTAAGTATCTGAGAGGATATGGGACATGAGGATGATGTTAAAGATGGCCAGTTTAGCAGCTTGAGACTAGGGGAAGATGGTACCCTTAGTAGGTTGAGGGAAACAAGAAGAGTTGTTTCAAAAGAGTGTGGAAAAGAATGACAATAGTTTTGTACCTGAGGGATACAGACCTCCATGGGATATTTCCATCAGGTGGTGGAATGTACAGGGCAGGACTCAGGAGGTCAGGGCTGCAGATATCAATCTGAGAGTTTCAGAAGGAAGAAAGTGTGAGGTGGACCAGAGGATGACGCAGAGAAGGGGTCAGAGGCCTAAACTGAGACATTTATCTACACTTAAGCCCCAAACAGTGGTGTCACGAAAAGGAGTCTTGAGATAGAACTAAGGGGGCTGGAGAAACAACACAAAACAAAATATTAAAGTATAACTTGCCAGCCAAAGGAGGGGAATTTCAGTAAGGGATGTGGAAAGAGAGGATATGAGATGGACTGACAAGAAGCTGTTGCATCCAGCAGTCAGTTACTCCATTGAAGACAGTGACTGGTCACAGTGGTCCTGGCTTCAATCCACAACAGGTCCTATGATGCTTAGGGTACAGCACAGACCCTCACCTCAAACAAAGCGCTAAATCAGGTTTCTGGATACTTTGCAGGTTCCACACTTCGGTTAGCCTGAGTGATCAGGGCATTGCAAGCTAAACAAGTGTAATTACTTCATAAAATTTAGGCTCGGTCAGAATTCAAAGTAAACCCCTTCATGTCTCAATTTCATCTGGTTCAGAAACAAAACAGCAAAGCTTTCGAGAGCGAGGCTGAAGACCGCACATATAAGGAATATCTGATCAATATTAATGAGGCGACCCCTCCCGCCAACCAGGACCGGGGAAAACGTTTTCCAGGCCCACTGGAGTCACGCCCTCTCATAAATATGCAGATGAGATGCCAGTCGCGCGCTGCCCCGCCCTCTACTCTTCTCCCTCGCAACGGACTCTCCCTTCAAACGGGAAACAAGATGGCGGCGGCAGGTCCGAGTACTCGGGCCTCTTCCGCAGCTGTAGCTACGGCTCTGAGTCGGCGGGGCCGGCGGGGTCGCTGTGACGAGATGGCGGCAGCAAAGACTGGGGCCTCGGGCCCGGCCTCCGGCCCTGCGTTGTTGGTACGG